TGTGTACAAATCAATGCTTCAAGTGCTTCCGGCTTGATCGGAATCCGTTTAATGGGAATTTTGTCATCCTTCGCCATTTTATATTTACTGCAATGCGTCATGAAACCGCATAATATAAATGAGCATTAATGTCCTAACAGAACAAAAATATGTTCAATAAATTAACAGATGCTTTGTTTCAAGCATTTTGTATTTTGTGAATGATATAATGATGCTGCTTTCGTCGAATATTCTCAACAAATCGAATTTTTACTACCACCCAAATTGAAATTAGAATTTTGAATAATTCCAGCCATTAAAAGAAGCATTTACAGATGCTGAAGTCAATTGACAACATGCAGGAACTATTTTATAATAAATTATGATATTGTTGAAATAAATGTGCGCAATTGACATATAATAACGAGTAAAGACTCGTCCATTCTTATTTTTTGCGAAATCATTCTGGTTATCAATACATTTCACCTTTTCCCACCACTTTTACAAACTGGTAGTAATTCGTTTTTCATTTAATTCTTTCACCGGCTTTTTTATTTTTTTCGCTACCGACAATGACTTAACTAAACGCAAAAAACTAATTCTTTTCAATTTTTAATTTTTGCTAATGCTTTAATTTCATTTCGATTGATGCCACGCAATATACCAATTCAAATATTTTCAACAATCACTTATGTGCTGATTTTTAATCACTGGATGTGACGCCAAATACAACTGAAAGGAGCTTTCCACTGGCTTTGTTTTAAGTCAGTTAGCAGTCCTAAGCAAACAAACAACTTCGTTACTCAGTAAAACATCTCGCTTAGATCTTGTCTGATAGTGTTTTGCAAATTTTAGATTTCATCAAAAATCACAATTAAAGAAAAAAAGCGCAGACGAAGTGAAGGCGGAAAAACAAGTTTGCCATATTTCTAACTTTGTCGTATTTTATTTTCGATTTTTTTTCGTGTATTTCGTTGCTTTTAAGGAATCGTTTTCTTCCATCTCTTTATTTCTTCTTTCTCAGCAAATGTTTGTCGTCATCAGGAAGAGCTAAAGGGATATACTGAACAACTGGACTTCACCATAACAATTATTTGAATAAAATATATTCGATGGGTTTTTCAAAAACTTTGCATGTTCATCTGTATGCTCATCATTTTCTCTCTTTCCGGAAAACAAAAATTCAACCTTGAAACATTAAAAACTTTAATCCATCACAGATGCGAGTCACGTTTCCTCGCAAAGCGCAACCATTGCTTTGTACGGATTAAATGAATTTTCCGGATCCTTTTATTTTCATTTCAGATGGACATTAGGTCAATAATTATTGTATTGTCTTATCAACGATATTGAATTGACATGCTGCTTTTATGAAATTTTTTATGAGCTCTGAAATGAGACAGTTTGTCTTATGTCAACTGTCAGTGGTTACAAATGGAATACATAGTCGGATCACTCACGATCGCCTCCTATTTCACCTTTCCTCTTGCTAACGAAATCTTTAAATGATTTCATTCCATGAATAAAATTAAAAACGGTCGAGGAGCTTGTACATATCATAGATCCATTTACCATAAATTACAGCATCCTACCACCTGTCAAATCGCAAGCAGATTTCAGTTTTTAACTAACCAGTAAAAGCATGGTTGGCAATGGTCATCTTCTTGAGGAAGTTTAACAACTACTCCGATAACTTGCTGCCATTCTGTGACATTAGAACAAACAAGTCCTTCAAGTTCATTCATGCCATCAGGATTATCAATTGAGCAGACTCATTTTCCGACACTTACAGATATTTCCTTCAACGGTTAATGAAGCGAAAACGTAATCTTTCTTGCAATACTACCATTTGTACAGTGCTAATCATATTTGCAGGAATTTTGGACTGCTTATTATGTTGCCATTCGTTATCACCAAATATTTGATTGTTTTGACAATAATGTAAGTTAAATTATTTGCTCTTATCATATCATTCATTCAGTATACATACTTGCTAATGTTCTCTTTCATTTTCAGTACAATATTATCAATTGCTGGAACGGATGCACAAGTAGCTGTACAAACCGGTTCCTCGTTCAATAACAATTTTATAGGCAACAACGTATGTTTCAAACTTCTTATTAGTTTCAAAGTTTGAAATGTCACATTACTGAAATGTCACATACTATTATGATTATAGCACTTTAAGCATTAGTGCTCATTTAAGTGTCAACTTCCTTTGTAAAGTTTTTTTTTTTATATTTAAGTCGCTGAACAACAATGCTAACGCAATACAGAGATTCAGTGTTGAATTACGTGATCGAAGAGAAGATCAAACTACTACTCAAGCTCCACAAACTACTTCTAATCCATTGTTGCAGCTTTTGGAACAATTCTTTAGGGGTTTTTCTCAAAGGTCAATGTCTAGTGCGGGCTTCCCATCTCTGTCTCAATATGGGTATTATTATCCATACGGAACATATGGTGGTTACTGGCCCTATTCCTATTACTATTATTATTATTATTATGGATAATTGTTTTGTTTTCTCCAAACCTTTGCCTTTGTATCAGTGTGCAGACTTTTAATTTCAAAAAACTGTGCAAAGCTTTGTTTGATTTCATGTTTTATAGCAAGCTATTGAATAAATTGTGAATCTAATCAATGCTAAAAATAGATCAGAAATCTATGCGTCACAAATTATCCTCACCGAAGTCATCGGAGACTTTGTCACAGTT